CTGCGCCACCAGGGAGGGCCAATGTACAATTATTTAAAAAAATTTTTTTCTAGTGAGGTTAAAGAAAATTGAAAAGAAAAGATAGGAGCTCCTTTACTATACAAATAAAGCTCCCTGTCCTACAAATTATATATATTCAGTGCTTTTGGTGAGTCCTCTTATGATTTTCTCTAGCTTTACCAATTTGAGAGTCACTATTTATTGATATATGTTATCTTGACTGACAAAAAAAATGCGTGGTTAGGTTATTTGTAATGTCACCTTGATAATCACAGTGCTAGCTTACTTGACACTCTAAAACACTGGCATACATCTTTTACACCTGCTTTTGGTTTCAACTTCTGCCACTTCAGAGAAGTGTTCCTAAAATTGACAAAGGGAGAAAATAAAAGATAAAGATGGGGGCTGGGGGGGATGGGAGTGGTAAAGAAGACAGATTTTTCATTTCTTATCTTGTGATACATTGTGCAGCAGTAAGCACTACTATCTCCTACATAGACCCTTTGAAGATAGAAAAGAGAAAACACTAAGGGAAAGCTTTAGAAACTAGAGATTGTCTTTCTATTCTATGTGGCTTTGTCCTTTTACAAAGTCTGCATGACCTTTCCTATTGCATTAAATAAAAACAAGGGTGTAAGGACTGATGATTCATTTTGGTGAGTTGGTTACAGAAGTAGCTCTGGCATCTGTTACTTCCACTCTGTTATCCATTACTCCTGTTATGTCAATGGTAGCAGACATTTGATTCACTACTGAGATTTGGATATGAAGGGGATCCAAGGTGGGTTACAAAGTAAATCACATAGCTAAATCTTCTTTTCATCTTCACCTCACCTGTTTCTCTGTTTCTAAATTTCTGAAAGACTGGCAGTTGGTGGCCTTCACCTCACAGGCAGGAGGGGCTCTAATTATTTCAAGAATAATTGATTAAAAATGCAGAGTATAATAGCCTGTTAACAAGATTCCAGAACTGGGAGATGGTATGTCTTTTTGGCGATGATAAAAAAGCAAATTTCCCATTCCCCAACAAACACATGGAAGAAGTGAGGTGCCAACCAAACCTTGAACCAAGAAAAAAAAATTTCATTCACTTAACACCTGCATTTTTTTTTTACATTTACTTATTTATGCATATGGAACTGGGGTACAGGCCAGAGGTACAGGGGTGGGGAAAAGGATCCACCAGAGACAGAGTGGGAGCAGAACAGGTAGACTGACGAAATACACTACTGAGGGAAGTAGCTGGTGGGTGAGACAGGAGAGGTCTGCTGTGCCATGTGGGTCACCTCCGGGCAGGGATCAAACTTGTACTGAAGTGGCTGTGGTTGGCTTGCAGTGCTGCTCTTTAACCCGCTGCACTACCAGGGAGGGGACTTTTTAAAAATTTATTTTAATTAATTAATTTTTTACATCATTCTTCATTTTGTGCATTTTTCATGGACTTCTACCACCAATTCACCCTTGGCCATCATCATAGTCTCATGCACTCTGCCCACCCCAGTTTTGATCTTATTCCCCCCTCCACCTATTGCAAAATGGCTCTGGTTTATAGTTGTTCATTGTTATTTGTTTTTACGTTATTATAATTGCTTTTTATCGCCTGATCCCTTATGTTCCTGCTATGAGTGAAACCATCCAGTTTGCATTCCCACTAGCAGTGCAGGGGAGTTCCTTTTCTCCACATCCTTGCCAACATTTGTTGTTGCTCGTTGTTTGAAGATGTGCCATTTTCACTGGGGTGAGGTGGTATCTCATTGTGGTTTTGATTTGCATTTCCCTTATTACAAGTGATGTACTTTTTTTCATATGCCTGTTGGCGGTCTGCATTTCCTCTTTGGAGGAATGTATTTTTGGCTCTTTTGTCTATTTTTTGATGGGGTTATTCACTTTTTAAAAAAGATTTATTTATTTATGTATATAGAACTGGGGTACAGGCCAGAGGTTCAGGGGCCGTGAGAGGATTCACCAAAGACAGAGTGGGTAACAGAAAATGCCTACTTACAAAGTACACTGCTGAGGGGAGCAGTGGGGTGGTCAGGAGAGGTCTGCGGAGCCATGTGGGTCACCTCCAGGGTGGACGGGGATTGAACTCATGCTGAGGGGACTTTAGCTTCTTAGTGCTGTGCTTGAACCCGCTGCACCACGAGGGAGGGCCTATTCACTTTATTTTTGTTGAGTTTCACCAGCTCTTTGTATTTCTTTGTGATCAGTCCTTTGTCATTAGTATTGTGTGCAAATATTTCCCCCTAGTGAGTGGGGTGTCTCTTTGTTTTGTGTAATGTCTCTCTTGCTGTATAGAAGCTCTTTAGCTGATGCAGTCCCAAGTGTTTATCCTTTTCTTCATTATCCTTGCTTTGGGTGATGTACCTTTAAAGATGTTACTGAGTGCCCTCCCTGGTGGCACAGGAGGGTAAAGCACAGCAATGAGAAGCTAAAGCCACTTCAGCATGAATTCGCTCCACATCAGGGAGGGAATCCACATGGCCCTTCAGACCTCTCCTGACTCTGCTCGATTATCCCTGCTCCCCTCAGCAGTGTAGTTCATCAGTCAGCCTGTTCTGCTTCCCACTCTGTCTCTGGTGAATTTTCTCACAGCCCCTGCACCTCTGGCCTGTACCCCAGTTCTGTTTGCATAAATAAATAAATCTTTAAAAAAAAAAAAAAAGGTGTTACTGCGGCTAATATCTGCATTTGTAAGGAAATTTACACCAAGTGTCAAGCTAGAATTTCTTGAGACCCAGAAAGTTAAAGGGAAAAAAAAAAAAAAAAAGCCCATGAGTGGAAGCATATAATTAAGGCCAATATTGGTCTTACTGGAAAGCACAGTCTGTCCTGAAGTGGCATAATGGATCTCTTATAATTTGCTGATTGAGAAATGGCCCAACGATGGCTAGCAATCACTTACATCCCAAATCAGAGGAATATGAACATCCACTCAGGAGTGCATTGAGCAGTTCTTGGTTTCCCATTTTCACCCTGTTCATTGCTAACATCACTGCCCTCAGTGACCTTACCCATACCTCGCTCTGGGTCTAGTGGTTGCCCCACTCAGTAATGATAATGATTTGCTTCATGCAAGGGCAGAGTGCTGGCTGTGTAATAGGCCAAAGCCAGGTTGTAGGAGGCAAGGCTGGTAGCCTGAGGCCTGCAGGCATCGTACTGTCCCTCTTTGTAAACAGCCCAGATTGACCTAGCTGTCAGGCTTGTTCTCTCCCCCACTGTCTTAAGTGCTTTCTCAGTATCTACTCCCCCAGACTTTTGGCCTCGAGTAGTAGTGAATTACCCAGCACGAGCTGCATACTGCGCAGCCTAGCTAAGTTAGAAAAGAATCCCCTGACCTAGCACACTGTATGTTTCCCTCATGCTAATAAGCAAACGAAAAAGTCGCTTCAATATACAGCTTACAAAACTTGTATGTAAATCCCTTCAGATTTTCGTTCAAATACAAGACCATCAATATCAACTAAATAGAAGTACCTTGGGCAGTATAGATTAAAGGTGACAAATTACAGACCATGCCTTAGCACTCACAAAGGGTCAAATTCTCAGAGATCTGACAGAATTGTAATACACAAGAGGTCAGAAAATATTCTGAGCAAGCATCACATAAAGCTATGCAGTTTTCTTTAAAGGAAAATAAAATAATTAGAACAGGAGTCTCTATGCTTTACTGAAAGCTATCAGGTCGGACCATACACAGTACTGTTTTTATAGGTTGAAAACTTCTCTAAGTCATGTTTTACAGTTACAATTTCTGAAAACAAAGGGTTTGGGATAAAGGAAACAAATAGTAAAGCTCTTTCTTGTAGCTTATAGAAAATTAAATGCTTGAGCAGTATCAGTGGTGTTCACAGTGAGAGTCCCAAAATACTATCAGAGGGTTTTGAAAATAAAATTGGCATTATGAACCTACCAGAAAGTTTACAGTCTACTGGTATACCATGTGATCAGTTATGTGAACAAAAGGGAAGGAATCTGGTAGGGTAATGAGACTGAATATTCTATATTAGTATAGAAAATTTTTCTTTTATTGAGAGGCTAAACCATGGGAAAAAATTCCAGCATAAATGTGTCCTAAGTAGAAATACAATGGTTAAGAATTAAGAGGCCCACGCTAGTGGCACAGTCAGTTAAAGCACAACACTATGAAGTTAGCTGCAGCCACTTTAGCATGAGTTCAGGATGCGGCCGGGGTGGGGACCCACATGTGGGGCAGACCTCTCCTGTCTCACCCACTGCTCCTCTCAACAGTGTACTTCATCGATCTGCCTGTTCTGCTCCCCACTCTGTCTCTGGTGAACCCTCTCACTGGCCCTCTACCTCTGGCCTGTAACCCAGTTCTGTATGTAGAAATAACTAAATCCTTTTTTAAAAAGGAATTAAGAACTGAGTTTTAAGGCTACCTGTTATTAATCAGTGTTAAAAATCAAATATGAAACATTAAAAGTATACCTTGTTTATGCTTATATATTCAGATTTTCAAAAAATGGAACCAAAAAAAAGCTATGAATTTATCAATTGTTTATTGTCTACACACCATAGCACCATAATTTTGTTATGGCACATTTTCCCCTGATTGCATCCTAAAAAGTATTTTGAGCACAAAGAATATGTGTTAGATGAAGTACTAGAAAATTCTCCTCAAACATACTAAAGTTTATAAAAAATGTATGCATTACAAAATAATATAATTATGAAGGCTGTTATAGTGCACCACAATCCTTGAAGTCCAAATAACTTATATATTGAATTCTAGACTTGCAGGGCTAGTCTGTGGATGATCTTGTCATGCAAAGCACAAGAGTTGCAAAGAAGAGGGAATATAGGCATTGCAGATAATATTAAATACAACTTTCCTGTTCACTTGAATTATTTTTATAAATCCTTTACAGTTCCAATTCTTTTTAATGATATCCCATTTTTTAAAGATTTCTCAATGAAAAGTTACCCACTAAGTCATTTTAAATGCTTACTCATTTCGACATGTGACAACAAATGAAAATGCCAAATAAATGCAGGTAAGACAGAATGCCAATTGTATATAACAAAGCAATATTGATTAAAAACCATTACCACAGATTACTATATATTCCACCCTATAATCTCATAAATCAAAGCTTTTAATTGTCTGGATTCATAAGTGACTGTATTCTTTCCAATATGCATTCTTTCTTCTTCCAGGGGTTGTTCAATAATGGCAGGTATGTTCCTGCCATAAAGTTCACAATGTTCTAGAAACTGGATACATTCTTCAATTACACTGTCACGCAGCACTATCATGTGTTTTGACATATTTTCTAATAAGGACAGGAAGCATCTTTTGGCATAATACCAGGTATCAGTTCCTAGTTTTTTATTATAAGGTTCTAAGCTTTTGATAACCCGGGAAATACCAAAGTCATAGTTCCCTTTGGCACAGTAAAGTGTCCCTATGACCAGATTCACAATGCAGAGGTGGTAGACTTTCTTGTCCGGTTCATCATAGGAGAGCTGCTCCTCCTCCTTTTCAATCTTCCTCATCAACTCCTCTGCTTCTTCATTCTGACTTGTCATAATATATGAAACACAGAGGTTAGCCAATACAATAGCACTGACATGCAGGATATTGTCATAATGCTTCTTGACTATGGGCTCATAAAATCCTATGGCTTCCTTGTATTTGTTTTCCTGCATGAACAGAACATGAGCCACATTCAGCTTCCAAACATCGTGGTCACTACAGAACTCCACAGATTTGCGGAAGATCTTTTCTACCATCGGGTAATTTTCAAGGTTCCAATAGATTTTTGCCTGGGCCATCAACACGGGGATATACTTCTCAAGGGTGTCATCATATTCATTCACTGCTTTTTTCACAGCTTCATCATCTCTGTTGTGTCTTGCTTCCTGTACTTGCTTAGTAAGTCTCCGGAGCTGTTCAGTCAGAATCCCTGCTAGCCCATCAAGCTTAAGGAAAGCCTCTTCAGGAGCTGTCTGACATGTGATCATGGCATCCAAGAAATCATAGAGATAGGGCGTGAGGTACTTATAAGTCAAGTGGGCATTTTCTGCCAGGACATCTGCTGCCAGATCAAAATACTCATACTTACAGTAGAGCAACAGCAGGTTGCCAAAGGTCTCTGGGGGAAAAGGGTTCTGTTGGAGCAAAAACTGTAGCTTTTCAAACCCTTCTGTAGGCCTGGCATCCATGTTCATTAGTGCCTGGTTGTGCAGGGTCACAGGATCTAACTCTTCTTCTGCCCTAGGTGGCATGTCAGTGAGGGTTTCCTGGGCCACCTCATAGTTTCTCAATTGATATTCGACAGCGGCCTTGAGGTTGAAGGCTTCCACCAGAGCAGTCTGGTGAAGGACTAGGGTGTTGCCCACACTGCGAACATCAATGCCTTCAGTGGTCATGCCCACACCTAGCTCTGGGTGCTGGCGGATGCCATGCTCAATAATGTCAGCGATATGCTTCAGGGCTGAGGCATACTGTCGGCTACTGTAATAAGCCAATGCCAGATTGTAGGAGAGATCAGGCCGGTAGCCTGAAGCTTGCAGTGCCACAAAGAACTTGGAACACGCGGCTTCATACTGTCCCTCCTTGTAGAGTAAACAGCCCAGGTTGACCTGGCCATCGGGCTCATTCTCACCCCCACTATCTTCTGTCCCTTCCCCACTCAGCAGCTGCTCCACCAGGCTTCTGGCCCCGGGCAGGTCGCCCTCACTGTACTTGATCGCAGCTTGCAGACGAAGCACTCGGTTGTGATAGGCAGGGTTGTCCAGCAGGAGGAAGGCGACCCGGGTGGCCTCTGGATAAAGGCAGGCTTTGTAGAGCGCCTGGGCCTGGTACAGGCGGTACTGCTCCAGGTCCGGGTGCAGCTGGCCCAGCTGTTCATAGCACTCGGCGGCCAGCGCGAACTCCTGCAGGCGGTAGTAGCAGTAGCCCAGCAGCGACAGGCCAGCGCGGCTCCTCGGGCTCCGCTGGAGCTCTCCGCCCAGCAGCTGCACCGCCTCTGCGTAGCGGGCATCGCGGATGAGCCGGTACACCACGGCTGTGTACTCCCCATCGGGGATCTGCGCACCGCCCAGCCCCGCCATAACCGCCTAGGTGGCTGTGCGTCCCAGTTACTACGGCAACAAGCCCACCAGTAATGGCGGAGTGCTTCTCTGAAAATTACTTTGCAGCGGAAGGAGAACTAGAAATATCTTTGCTGGGAATAAAAGAGAATCACTGATATTTTCCAATCACTAGTGAGCGTGGAATTATGTGGGCCGTTGAGGCCGCGGATCACAGGCCAGAGAGGCAAAGCCTCCGGGTAGAAACAAACTCTACTTCCCAGCATGCAGTTTTCAATCGTGACGTCCTCTGGACATGGCCGCGCCGCGCTGCATTCTGGGAGGCGTAGTTTCTGCGGGTTGGGTCCGCCCTTGGGAGAGGAAGTTGTGCAGGTTTTTCTTGTTTATGGTTGCGTGTTTCTGGTAGTCTGTGGTGTCACCTTGTTCTTTGATACGGAGAAGAATTGTTTATAGTTACAAATACCTTGCTTTTTAACCTGTGTACTGCACAATGCTTATGAATGGTGTCGTCTTGTGTTTGTGACTGTAAATTAATGGGACAGAAAAATGAATGAACTTCTTGGTATTTGCGTGTGTTGTCTTTTTCAAGCTGCCTAGATGGCATTCTTTCTATGGACATAATACGCAGGTACCAGGAGTCCTTATTTTTGTCATTTCCATAGGTTGAAAACAGGAAACGATTTTGTGAATCTTGATAATGGAAGAGGTTCACGTTCAAGCCAGATGTCTCCCTCCCCGTTTTTCATAAATGAGAATTATTACAGAACAATTGGCATTTGAACTTGGTCTTCCAACTGTCATCACAAGTAAGAAATCAGCCTTCCTTAATCTCCCTTCATCTCCATTGATCTGGGATCTGCATTAGTCAGCCTAGTACCTAAGATTAAAAGTGTAGGAGTGAAAGGATGTGTTTGTTACGCAGTTGAAGATTGGTGCAAGTATTTTAGCTGCTGCTTTGAAAATTTTATTTTCCATCTTTTAATATATGGATTTCAGAGCCATTACCAACCACACCATATGGCACACTACTATCACTTACATGTATTATTTCTGGTCTACAAAACCACTCTATATTCTGTATTTTGTTGATGAAGAACATGTGTACTAGAATGGTTTAAGGATTTAAAGACCACAAAGCTCTGCAGAAAGCAGGAATTTAAAAGAAATGCTAGTTTAAGAGCTTGACAGGTGCATTCAGAGGTTGGGTTGAAAGAAGCCACAAAACAGTGACTGATAACCTATTCTGTGCATCTTCTATAGATGAGTTTGTAAGGGCCCACTGCCACGTTGTATGACAGAAGATGAGGATTTTTTCCCCCCTATCAGAAAAGCTAATCAATTCTGTGTACAGGTGTTAGAAAGGTACTCGTGGTAGTTCCGTAGCTGCTAGTCACCTGGTATAACAAGAAAACTGTGGGCATTTCATTGCGTCTATCATAAAACAATGGGCTATGTATTTACTCAGTCTTCTCCCATGCTGAGAAATTGGCAGAGCTGTGGGGTCTTCCTGAGTGGGAGCAGACAAGAAGCTTTCCATTGCATGAAAGTCAAGAAAGGAACAGACTGTACCCATTTCAGAAGGGTTGAGTGGGGCTCTGGGTTATCTAACATCCCCAGAGAAAGCAGGTGATGAAAACTACTATAACCCTACTCCATGGCTTCTTTGAACCCAGTCTCTGGTGCACCTAATATTAAGCTCTTCAACTCAGTATTACTTGCGTGGAGGGATGCTGATCAGTAATGTTCAATAATCAGGGGAGGGCCTCCTTGGGGGATCAGGAGTTAAAGTCTCAGCTCTATCAAGCTATCTTCAGCCACTGCAACATGAGCTGGATCCCTGACTCACATAATGCAGAAGATGTCTCCTGTCTTGTCCACTGTTCCTCTCAGCAGTGTATTTCAGTAGATCTGTCTGTTCTGCTTCCCACTATGTCTCTGGTGAATCCTCTCAACCCCTATACTTCTGGCCTACATCCCAGTTATTCTATTCATAAATAAATAAAAAATAAATGGTTTTTTAAAATGTGGGGAAGGATGTTGTCACCTTTACTGACTATACTATCCCCATGGAAACTCAGGGTTAGTATTTTTAAATCCTTATGTATGAGCTATTACTTTTGGTGAGTTGCTATTAAGTCAAGATAAGATGACAGAACATGGAAACAGGAAATTGCCTTTTAAATCATTAGCCTGTCTGTTTTTTGTTTTTGTTTTTGTTTTTTTTTAACAATTATATTTGTATCATGAAAGCATTCACCTTCAAATGGCTTCTTGGCAATGTTTGAAAAACAGAATGACTTTCTGCTCTCCCCAAATTCCTCTGACCCCGGGAGGGTTTAGTTGAGATTTTCCTTTATTTTGCACTGATAGCCATTCGTGAGTGTGGCAGCTGAAGTGGGCAGGAGGGAGGCCATTTTGTGTCTTCCTCCTTATTTCGTGCGCTGCAGCTCCAAGACCTGGCTTGCAAAAAGCAGGACATTCGGCTTAGACAGATGGAGGGCAGGGTCATTTTCAAAATGAAATGAGTGCACAAATCACTCTGTGAAATTGGCATGACCATCGCTGCTGCTGTGATAGACCGACTTTTGTTTAGCCTGTGATAGGCAGTTGGGGAATAGATTAGTTTTGGGGGGGACCTATGTGTATGAAAGAAATCCCTTTAATTAATGATAAATTCTGTAAAGCAATGAAAAGGGTGAATTATTACAAAATGTCATATGGATCATTTTGTTTCTAAATCTTGAAAAGCTGTAGCATATGTCAAAAAGTATCTCACTGTTGCTAGCAATGAGGAAGCATTTCTGTGTTTGCAATAAAATGATTTAGTGTCTTATTGGAAGGAAATAGGATTTGAGAAATTGGTGTTGGACTCGGGTGGGTTTTACTGCATAAGCGGAGGCATGTTTACCATGTAGGAGAATTCCATTCAAGCAACATGTATAGGAGCTAAAAACGTAATTTGGCTTCTTAACATGCTTATTTTCTGCTGCCAAAATATGAGATGATCAAATCCCATATTGTGTCTGTATTCTTAACCTGTTTGGTATTCTCTTTTGAATCTTGTTAACAGGTTTGTATTATTTATCCTATGATCGTAAACGTGTTCTGTTGATAAACATTGGTAATTTATGAACATCTTGACACCACAGTGTGGTCAAAATCTTCCTTGATAAAAGAACACCTACAAAAATATTTTCAGTTGTTATTTCTTTTTCCCTCTGATTACAGGCCATTTTTTTCAGGATGGCCATTTTGAGGAGTTCAAGAGTGATTCTTCCCTTCCTCTCTACTCCCAGCTCCTACCATAAATAGGGAAGAAAAGAATAAATTAGTGCCAAACTGGTAATATAGTTGGCTGACTTTTAGGAGGAGCTGTTCAGTCTTTTAAGACTTTTGGAAAGAGTCTATATACCACATCAACATCTGGGAACATTTATGCTCAGATGGTGAGGTATTTAACCTTATTATGAACTCTCTTTCTGTGGTTGTTCTAGCTTTATTAATATTTTAATTAGATTTCCTTCTTGAACATACCTTTTCCTTTTTATCAAGTAGCTTTATTTTGGTGCTTATGATATTATTATCTAGATTAAATTATCAGGGAAAGCACAATAGCCTGATGATTTATAAAGGGGATTAGGAGGGGAGGCATACAACCACCCAAACAAAGAGCTATCTGTGTTCTGTCTTCACGCTGTACTTCCGTACCAGGACCAAATTCTACATTGCCGAAGTTACCTCATAAATCCTCACAGCCATTCTGTGAATTAGGTGATTCTTATTGTTGTCCCACTTCAAAAACAAGGATTGCAAAGCACAAAGAAGCTGGTCACTGCTGCCAGCACTCAGGCTGATGATTGCCTGTGCTGGCCAGTAGGGGCCATGCTACAACTCTCCCTCTGTCCCTGTGGGCACCTCCTCTCCAGTCATTTGAATTGGCTCTGGATCATTTGCTGCAGTTTGTTCTAATAGAACAGGCACAATGGTGTAAGAATTTTAAAGTGTAAGCACCGAAGCCGCTGTGTAATTGTATGGCTTCGGTGTGACTGGCGGCCCTGCCTCCATGGGCTACTCCCTCTCCTCCGTGTAATTGCCCATGCAAATTTGAGCACTGTCTAATGGACCCAGGAACTCGTATTCAGCTGCAGAATTCCTCCTCCCAGAAAAACTTCTGTGATTCAAAGAACCTTCCGTAATCTTTAAAATGCCCATGCACAGGGCTGTTCCATTATCCTTCTCACACAGTCAAGTATCGCAGGTTAATGGATAAACTGATAAACAAAATTAAAATTGCTGGTAGTCAGCCCTTACATCACCTTTTTCAAGAGAAATAAAGATGATCACAGAATTTAAGTTGAACTTTAAGCAGTTTATTAAAAACATAGGTAGTTAGGTCTCTTAAATCTGACTTTTAAAATCATGGGATTAATTGCCTGTGAAATGGCCAAGCATTTCTATACAATATAGTATTCATCTTATGAAACATCAAACATTAGCCTGGGAAATCAGCACAAAGGGACTGACTCCATACAAGTCAACTGAAGACATATCGTCCTTCTTATGAAAGAAAATCATTAGGGGATCCTTTTTAGATTATTGTACATGAAAATAAAATGGCAAAAATAATCCCCTCCCACCCCATGGAAAGGAAACTCAGCAAAACTTAGTCTCTTATTTCCACACTATACTGTTTTTAGAAATTTACCTAAATATGATTCAATTTAAATGAAATGAAAAAAATTGTAATTCTTACATTCACACAGAAAATGAATATAACAATAAATGATGGCCTCAAATAAGACATTTTCGTGTGTGTGTGTGTGTGTGTGTGCACAGCAAATACTTCGTTTACTTAACAAAACAAACATTTCTGTACCAGTCAGAGATATTGGTATGGATATGCTGCACAGATTGACAACTTATCTTTAGCACTGTTGATAGTTGTTCAATATGCAAGAAGGTTAAAAATTAAACTAGGAAGATGTACAATCCCAAATTACTAGCTGAGGAAAAGGGAAGAGCACACTCAAGGCAAACAGGATATTAAGCATTGTTAAATTCTTTGTGAAATTCTCCAGACTCTTCATTTTCTTTCTGCTACCTATGTGTTTATTCTATAATGGCTCATTTACAAAACTTAGAAAATTTTGCCCTCTGGTCACCAACTTTATCTTTTAAATTTCCTGATACACTTGAGTTTTGGGAGTTCTTTATAGCACATAGCAGGATAACTGCTTTGATTTTGCTATTTTGAAACAGAAACTTCACTCAGTGGCATTGCCCGAGTTTTGGGGCTCCCAATTAGGTTTTGTTCTGTTGCTTTAATGAGTCCTTTTTGAGTTTGTATTTTTTCCAGCCCAAGTGTTTTCCTCTAGATTTAAATCTTTCCCTAGTATATTTAGATTTCTGTCCTGCTTGAAGGAAATTTTTTCACACTACTACTGGGGATAAAACTGTATTTTATCTTTCTGCAATTCATTAAGAATCAGCAGGAAAACAGATTTTAAAACAACTTTACAACAAAGTAAATTGAGCAGATTCTGTTTAATCACCTAAAGTGGGTAAAGTATGATACATTTAATATGCGAGAAACTGAATTCCTATAGCATAAATATTAGTTAATCTTGTTATATGTTTTATGATATGTTTTACTATCTAACCAATATGTGCAAATACAAAATATCTAACAGTATTAAATGATATTGTTAATACAATATTAGGTAATACTGTTATCACACTAAGATTATTTCTAACCCTATGTATATACAAATATAAAACACCTGGAAATATATTGACATCTCAGGTTTCAGATACAGAAAACGCACATGCAATTTAACTTCTTTAACTCATTTTAATAAGTTTACTTTGGAAGTGAACTGAATACTTCTTCTGGGATATGTATAGTGTGAGATGATTTCAATTGTCCCTAAATGTCATTTGCCTTTCAGGTAAGACATATTTATGTTAAAGTTCTTACATGTATCATATATATAATTTAGTGAGAAAATGACTTCTTGAGGTTTGCTCCTATTTTATTTGAGATAAGCATATAAGACAGTTTACTCATCTGGAGAAAAAAATTAAGTTAAATATAGTTTGTTTATTTCATGTGGAAGTAAACTGAATAAAAGTCCATGCTTTTATATTCCAGTGGAGAGCCTGAGATCTGGAGAGTTCCAAATTAATAGGTCCAGACCTATTCATGGTCAAGCCAGGATGGCATGGTCTGCTGTGCACTGGGTGGCACCTGCATGGGTCCCAAGAGATCTCTACTGGTGCTGATGACAGTGACCTTGCAGGCTATGCATGTATTATCTACATACTGACTAATAATCTACATACTAATGGCACGTTTGAAAAATTCATCTCATAGAAGAAGTAGCTGAATCATTTCAGTCTTTAATGCCAAGAGACCCAAGTTAGCAAATACAATATGGTTTTAAAAGAAGACTCAAATGCCTTCTTTCAATGGGAAATAAATATTAATAATAAGGACTGAGAAAATTTCTCTCTCTAAATTTTGGAAAAGCAGAATGTAATAACCACACACACTTCACATTCTTGGACAGTTATACACTATTTAGAAAAGAGATTGAAATGCTTCAAACGCCTAAGTGTTCAACCTTTGACCCCCGCCCCCCTGTGTTTTATTGGCACCAGGGAAGCCGCTACCCTCCTTTTCTACTGCTTCCTTGTTGCAGAGGAACATTAGTCAGCAGTTTCTGAATTCTGACCCACAATAGGAAAGATACCTTGAGACAGGAAAAATAGATGGAGGCAATTACAAACAGCTACTTGATGGATGGTTGACACTGTCAGGGCTGCACTGTATGGCAGATTGCAATGGTGTTGAACTCCCCTTGCTACTAGTGGGTGTTGCTATTGGCAACCGTGCAGTGAAGCCAATAAAAAGGCAAGAAAATGAGAGGAAAACTCAACCTTAGTGGAAGCTGTAGGGTTTGTGCTATAAATTATGTTCCCCTTAGCAATATGCAGCATCAACATCCAGGGTACTGCAGCGCCTACAGCTGCCTGCAGTCTCCATCGTGCTCTGGTCTGGCTGGATCATAAAGCACAGGCTTTAAAATTTTGCTTTAGGTAGATTGGCATCCGTCTGTCTGGGCTATTTATTTATTGTCAGGTGAATAACAAATATGGGTTCATCTCTGCCTCCTTCACATGGCCTGATTTTCAATTCCCATTTGTGGCATAAACATGATGCGGCACAATAGCCAGAAAGACCTGCCGTGCTTCTGAGCTGTAGACGCAGGACGGTCTGTCCCTGACTCCACCCACCCTTTGTTCCTCACCTGAAGGAGGGGATGCAGCCCAGCAGAAGCTACTTTCCTTTATAGCAGAGTGATTCAGAAAACTGGCTTAATAAAATTCATAAATCTTAACAACCTCCTCTTTACCTGCACTGTGGAGGCAATTTTTCCTGTACTCATTTTCTCCGCTGGTTTCTCCAGTCTTCCCTGCAGAGACGGCTGTAAAGGGTGGCCAGACATTATTTTTTTAGGGTTCCCATTTCTCCCTCCTTTCTTACCAAAACCCCTCCCTGTTTAAGTATCTCTATTTTCTAAGCAATTGATGCTGTAATCTTCACCTTTATTTGTTTGATTGGAAGCACGTTTTTTTTTTGTTTTGGATTGACTTCCCTTTCTCCTTTCCCTTGATAGTTTCCTTACCACCTGCCTTGATTTTTGTCTTCCTTTTATGATATCTCTTTCTCCTCCTCCTTTTCTTTTCTTCCCCCACCCCCATTTCCTAGTTTATGCTTTAAAAAATAAAACTTTATTTCTGGCCATGTATAGAATCTTACATCTTCCCTATGAATACCTGTTCTCCCATCACTTTCATGTTGGTGCCTCATTTTACCCATTTTTAAACATTTCCCAAATTCTTACAGTATGCCAGGGAAATAATGTCCTTTGTGGAAAGTGACCCCTATTTATTTAATACTTGGGGAATTGAGGTAATAACTGATACTGGTTATTAACAATAGAAAAAAAGATGGTTTGTAATTTTTAGATTTATCAGAGCTAGCTTCAAGGTTCATCTAGTCCTGGATTTCCAGACTCCTCAGAGCCCCTTTATGGGCCATCATGTATGCAGTAAAAAATAGGAATTTGCAAGGGCTTTGGATCCCTTTAATATGGCTTCAAAGGACTTTGGCTTTTAGATCTATCTTGTAGATTCCATGTAAGATTTTATTTAAACTAAGACTTCTAAGGTTAAAATATGTTTGAAAAACATTTCCTAGTGTAATCTTGCTTGACAAACGAAGAGACAGACTGAGAGATGACTTGTCCAAAGTTATCCATTCAGAAGCGCCGACGCTAAGGATATTAGTGTAGCTTCCAGCCCTGGATCTCTGCAGAAGGCATACCATGCCCCTGATCTCTCAGTCAGATGTGAGCAAAGTAGCTTTCTTGTCACTGCATCTAATATTTAATGTAGTTTATTCTCATCTGCTATTGACTTGGCTTTCTGTAGAATATTTGTTCTCTGCTTAGATTGGTAGGTACTTCTGAATCCTTCACACATTATTTCTTAAATTTAAAGAGAAATCCATACTGGGGACATCTGAATTTGGCTTTAGGCTGGTACTTTAAATTTTATACCAAAACGCATCACTTGCAGAACTGAAGGTAGTCAGTGTTCATTCTCCACAATTAGGTAGTGTCCTGTGAAATGTCTCACTGCTAGAAATAGTTCCTAAATATTCACATGTCATTTGTGGCAAAGCCAGCTATAGATTTCCTTTTATTATTACTTTAATTAAAGTCTGTTAATCTATAAATCCTAAGGTCTATTCGTCTACAATGAAGATTGGATTAAAAAAAATGGAAAAAATAAAAAACAATCCCAATGCATGACTCTTGTATAGACACTAATCAGACAAACATATTTGCTGTATTTCTACTATGAGCCTTTTAAAGGGAAGCTGAAAGTGGTCTAATTTGTAAGGTAATATAATTTTTCTTTTTGGTAGGCAATCTAAAGGCTCTGATTTATCACTAAGAAGTTTTAGAATTAACATACAAATTGGGATTCTTTGGAAGTCTGGCACAAAGGGCGCTCAGGAGAGGATGGAAAGCAGGCACTGTTTAGCTTGTAACAAAACGAAGCAATGCTAATGACATCTTCACTGCTCTGTGCACCTTCCAGCGTGCACCGGGCCGACTATCTGGGTCCTCTGCCCGGAGCCTGTCTCAGCCCTGGGTGCTCATTAGGGAAAGCTGTAGTCTGTGTTCCCAGACCCACCTCCTCCTCTGTCCTTCCTGTCCCGGTCTCCCCTGCTGACTACTTTTCAAGGCGAAAGCCTAGGCATGCCTGCAGAGCATCCCTGAGACTTTAGGTCTGTCTGAGCGTAAAGGAACAAAAGATGGTGTGGTGGGACCCAAACTGGAGCTACTGCCAAAGCTGGCGGTCATTTTGCAGCAACAGCAGACATGGAGGGTTAGTTTCTGTCTTCCCCAGTCACCATGACACTGGCAGAGGAGGGGGAGGCCGCTGGAACCAGCAGTCTTTTCTGGTGCAATTCTTCCCACTTACTTCTGTTCACAGTCACTGAATCCAGCATTGGCTTCAGTTTCACATTGACCTTCACCAATGCCTAGAATAAAGCAAAGTGCAAATGGGGGAGGCATGGAGAGGAAATAGTCACTGACATTATTTTTTTAGCTCTTACTTTATATAAGGAGAATGGAAAGTAACTAAGAAATAAAAGTGACAATTATTTTGAGCTAATTTAACAAGAAATAAATATTCATTTAATGCCATTGTATTATGTTAATAGAGACTATGCAGAAAATGAAAAACCAAAAACTAAAAAACAAGACAGGGTGGTTGAGTGCTATTCCAGGGTGCCAGTCACGTAGACTATGATCCTATAAACTATGATCCTGTTTTCAATTCACACTGAGGAAACAAAATATCCAGCTCACACATCTCTAATAATAAATGTTTCTTTGCAAGCTAGGCGAGTCCAGAAGGCAATGGACCATCAACTTAACTTTTTTTTTTTGAATTTTATAATAGTTTATTTTTACATATTTTTCATCAATTTAACTTTTTACAGAAATAAACTTATTGCATGTTCTATCAGTTAGGTGATTCTCGGGGACTTACCTGAGTAAGAGGCCAGGTAAAATCATGAGATAAGAGCATGTGCTTATATTTAAAGCTAAGGATGTGGGAGATCAACGTGGAACATGCATGGAAATAGACATGAACTAAAGGGAAAAGGTGTGTGGAAGAGAGAGACCAGAGTACAGGGAGAGGGAATGTGGGGTATGACTAAGAGGCCAATTGGCCATGACGCTTGGATGCTCAGGCTTCAGCCTTCTTACTAGCATGAGATCCTTCTAAATATTTTCTATTGTGGTCATTATTGCATTTAAAAACCAACCAGCCAACAGTAACCATTCCAAAATGGTATAAACTTCCAGCCTCACAAAACATGATCTTTCCAAGAGTCCTGGAAATAAGGTGATTCATTTGAACTTAATTCAGTGAGTGATTCTGCAGATTTCACAGCAGAGGGAGTACTGGGGCAGGAGTGGTGCGTTTGCCTTGGAACTGGGGGCTACAGCAAATTCAGAAAGTTCATGTTGAAGAGTAGTAGGCAAATATCTTACAGTGAGCACTGAGTCCACTTTGGCTGGTTTGGAAATTCTATTATTTTTTTGCTTTACTGTTTAAGTGTTTATAGAGTTCCTGTTATTTAAGTGCATGAATAACTACATTTATTGGAAATCCTTTTGTTTTAACTATAAAAGGCTTTCAACATATTTAATCAGTAAGATATGGTCAGCAAAACATATCTTAGACATCAATATTTGTAAGTTTGAATAATAGTTATGAGTAAAGCCACAAACATGAAACATACAAACAAGGGTTTTAGAGATTTCACCTTTTGTATGGCTCAAAAAGGAAAAAAAAAAAAAGGAAGGAGAATTTGATGGTATCCTAATCTTTTTTTAGAAACCATCTCTATCCTTTTGAAATGAGTTTGTTTGAGTTGCTTTACAAAAATTTCTCCCCTCTGTAACCATTTTATATATTTTAGAAAATATAGAAAGAATAGATAAAAAAGAAAAAGGAAAAGAGGTGATTTGTGTTCTCATAACTCAGAGATAACCACAGCTAGGTTTTTGGTTGCTGCCTTTAGTGTTTTCTGATTGACTAAATTATGAACATATTTAAATTATATTCACATGGTGGTATTTTAATTAAGGCAGTACACACATGGCCAGAATCTAATAAGAACATAGGGATTTTTAAAACTTTGTATTTCTTGGATCTGTTTTACGTCTTCAGGGTCTCAGGGAAGTGTAAAAACCTGTATCCCACACGGACCAGGAAGAACTTTAGCTACTGAACAATTCATACGTGTTAAATACTTTGTCAGCCGCTGTACATACTTTATCTCATCTATTTCTCACCATAACTCTACATTTTACAGATGATAAAACATGTCCCTCAATGTTAGTATCACATGTGATCTTTAGTCCTTCCATATATGAAAATGAGAATCCATTTAAGAAGTTACTTTTGCTAATCCTTCCATTTTATATGGAAGCTAAGTCCTTTTCTTAAAGAAAATCAAGGAAAGGATACTAGTGAGCTAAATGGATTGAATATACAGAGAAATCTATAGAGGCTACAAGAAAGAAGGCTAGTCTAAAAACATCAAGAAGAAAAAGCAAAGAATCTTGAAATTTTGTGGCTTCAAAGTTTATTAGTCAACTCAAGACACCTAGTAATTTTGGTAAAGGTTTTAGAGGGTTTGTGATGGTGAGGAAGAACTTGAGGATATTGTGAGTGTGATTGCTGCTGTCATCAAATTGCAGTGATGTCTCATATCAGGAACTTCCTTGCTTTCATCTTTCTTACGCCTGTTTCCTTCCTCGTTGTCATGGCTCCGTCTTAGATAGTTATACCTATGAATTCCATATGAAATCTTTGTGTCCCTTGGTGCCTCTCTATTCTTTGAAAATTAGGTATAACTTGACCTCAAATTTATTTCTTGCTCCAAAGACCTTTCACATACCTTCTATGATTTTCAAGTCTTACTTCCAAGTGCTTTGTTTGTTTTTTGACTTCCTTCTTGAATCCATTTGACCTTCTTGACACCACTCTGTAGCCTTCCCAATGCAAAGGTCTACTTCATTTCCTCCTTCACAAGAAATTCTATCTTCTTAAACGTTTTGGGTGCCTACTAAGTTTACTAAACATTAGAGACTGTCATATGGAAAGTAACTTACCCACTGACTCATCCCTATATGCTCCTTCACCCTATGCAAAGAGTAATTCAGTTTTCTCCCCCATCCTTCTCTCACTGTTAATAGAGAGTGGCCCACCAGCCACCCAGTCTTCCCCCGTGTCTCTGTAATTCTGATGAATCGATTTCTCGTTATAACAAGTTTTTTAAAATTGCTTTCATTTTTTTCCTTATAGAGCAATGACTAAACAATGATCATGGAGCTGTAAGGGTATTAACTCATGGGAAAAGTAATGTTTCCACTTTATGCCTTGGATCAATGCTTTATGTCCATAGATTATATGGTCCCATACATGATGAGTCCCCTTCATCACAAGGGGAACAAAAAGGTGAACCATTGACTAGACCATTGAATTTCCAGCACACCTAGAAAACCTTCTCTGCACTTGACCTGTGGTTACAGTGTGTCAAAAGTAAAGTCCTCCAATAGGAAGAGTAGCTCTTTATTTTGAGGCTGTGTTCTCTTCCGCCTGACTGCAAACTCCTGTAAGACTTGATTTTATCCCCTTCCAAAACCTAGATGCAAGTCAAGTGGGGATTGAAAAGCTCAGAAATGATCAAGTATCCTGCTGAGCAGTGAGCTCACTACCATGGCTGAGGTGTGGTTCCCTTCACATAGATGTCCTTTAAACAGAGCATATTCTTGCTCTTCAAAGAGGTATTTCTCACACCAAGCAACAGCTTCTAATATTAAATCAGATGTGTTAGTTATCTTGTATGACCACAGAACACAGCCACACAACAACTCAGGCAGTGATCGAAATCCCCTCTATTTCCATGAGAAAAATGCAGGTGCCTGTTTTCTGCTCAAATGCACAGTGTTTTTATTTAGACAATAGTGTGTGGTAGCAAAAAATGCCATGGTTTTATTTAGTATAGTTTGGCACTGGCTCTTCACTCTGATCAAGCCTTTTAATTAAACTGACTACTATAATTCCTATGGAAATTAGTGTTTATCTTATTTTCCTGCTACAAAAGCATTTCTCTAGAACTTATTTTTTTTTTATCCCAGGAGCACAAATTGGAATTTTTTTCTGCTTGAAATGTAATTAAAAACTCATTTGATTACTATATTTCTGGCTCTGCTTTACTTATTAAATTCCTGTAATCAGTTTTCTTTTATGAAGCTGCTGGGAAATGATCTCAAAAGCAACACATTTTTCTCTTCCTTGGCAGGTTCCCGAGCATTTACTAAATTACATTCATAGCACCTGCCCGTGATTCGAATTACTCCACCAATTTACTCCTTAAACCGTTTAAGTTTATTTGGCTTAGCCCCAAACAGATTTCTTTCCTTTATCTAGCTCTTTGTTCTCCCTTCTGCTTTCTTTGTGTTGAATAAAATAATTTTTTGGTTAGGAGAGTATACATTTCTCAGAATTCCTTCTCTTTGTTCCATATAATCCCGAAACACAGAATTGCTATCCTGGAATAATGATTTCCTCTGGTCAGGTGCTGGTTCTAGGCAAAGATAGCCAAAATCCCTTCTGAAGAATTACTCTTACACTCACTATAAATGTGTGCCATTAATGCAGCTAGCTGAGAGAATACAAAACCATCACAATATTAGGAAAGCAAGAAATTATCCACAGACCTCAATTCCAAGGCTAATAGTGATTATGTGCCATGACAAGATAATTGCTCCCAGTATTTAGAAAGAGATGGGTATTCCTAAAGTTTTCTCAATAGTGGGTGACACCTGATGCATTTTGTGTACCTGCTACTAGTGTTTGCAGTGTCTGTTCTTCATTCTCCTCTGAGGCATCTCTGGGGCTTGGCCACTCAGTGTTTAAACACATCCAGAGGCTACAAAGTTACTGTCTCCTGGGGGCCCAGCTTAAGCTTACTCTTTGTTCTGATTTGAGAATGTTGTTCTTTATATTGAGCTGAAGTCTCCGTCCCTTCCACTTCTCCCTAATGGTTCTCACCCCTGGGTGCTCTACCTTTAAATCAGAATCTACTTGGGCAGTACAGGGCAAATGACCTTATGCTGCTCCCAGTGGGTTTAGAAGTTGATAACCCACCTAAAGACCCACTTGGGATGTGCTGTATACCTTTTGGGGTATTAGGGGAGCTCTAAGCTGCTCTCAGCTTCCTCCTGGCCCCATACAGACAGGATCCTGAATAGTTCTCCACTAGGGGGCATAGCCTGGCATCCAGTGATCCAGACAGCCCAGGGACTCTGTTTCCTTCCTGATGGAAGGAACACCCATGGGTGAGTCCTCTTGTTACTAGAGCATACAGTTTATTCCATATTCTCTTTGTTTTCAAATAAGTATACATTGACATAGTTCAATGGATATGAAGGGTATAAAAAGGTGCAGTGTAAA